ATAGCATTGTATTATTTGTAGTGTTGTGGATCATACATAAACGCATACATGCATACTAACATACATACTAACATACATACGCACATACATACATACACTTATACATACACATAACACACACACACACACACACACATATATATATATATATATATATATATATATATATACAAAATAAGATACACTTACACATACATACATACTAACATACATATTAACATAAATACTAACATACATACATACATGCATAGTAACATACATACATCGTTTGCTCGTTCGCTCGTTCGTTCGTTTGTACTGATCTAACAAACATTGGCCTGCATTGCAGTTTGTGAAACATCTGTAAACAAGTAAATTTTTTTAATATTTTTCAAAAAATTGTAAATAATTTTACGGATTTACTAAACAAATCGAACCGAAATATATATGTTATTTTGCGTCTAGCAAATATTTGGTTTATTTTTATTCAATTTTTAATATTTTTAACTGCTGTAAAAAAAATTAATTTCTCGACCAAATGCATTTGAAATTGAATTTGTGTATCTCTATAACATTCATATGAAATTTAAATAACACAGCATAATTATTAGTTGATTAATTTATACTACTAGTTTTGCAAAGAAATGGTTTGAGAAAATAATGTAACAATTAAATTCAATTGGTTTTCTGCATAATTACACGTTACAAAAAATTATTCGATCATTTTCTCGATAAGTTTCAGTTAAGCTTGCTTTGTTTTGGGTTTATTACACCAAAATATCTGCTATTTTTATGATTTAATAATTAGAAAAACACTTTAATGTTAAATAATTTTTGACTTTGATTTTTTATCGTTTAAACTCGATGCAGACGTCGACCGTTAATTTCTAACAAAGAAGTCGAGATGTCGAGAGAATTCAGGCAGGGTTTGTTTGGCTGCTTCGGAGATTTCCGTGTCTGCATCATCACCTGGTTTGTTCCTTGTTACACGGAAGGAAAGATTGCCGAGAAGGTATTTTTTTGGCTTTTGAGTTTTTCTGGGTTAAAAAAAGTTCCAGATGGCTCCGTATTTTATTATATATATAATTTTTATAATCTGGATTGTCTCTTTTAGAAATTTTTTTAGACGTTTCAGTATAGTTTTAAAATTCTTCATTTTAAATTACTTTTACTTTCAATTAGTCGGTGCAAAAAATATTTACTTAATTGAAAAACATTCATAATTATACTTTTTCAATGAGTTCGAGCTTATTTAAACATATCTAACCTACATTGACGCTTTCTATTAAACAGACCTAACGTGAAAATTTGTAAGCACTTATACTGTTGTATGATTGAGCCGTTGAAATAATGTTTATTTACCAAAGCAGTGGTTATGACATCGTATGTTAGTGTCTTCTTCAATAACCCACTTATGATTTAAGAACTTATGCATTAAAAAGTTCTTATTGAAAAGTTATTACTAAATATACTCTGCATTTACAGTTTATTGTTACCTTATTGTCAGCATGTTGAATTTTGATGGTTTGAACTAGTCGGTTATTTGTCTGTCGAAGTTGCTCGTCGTTGTGTTGTCAAAACAGAGGGTGATGAGTGAATTTATTTTTTGTAATCAATACCTTCACTGCCACCAGCTGGCACTACCAACAGATATTTCCTACTTGTTAGTATTTACTGGAATAGTAGATAGATAGTTGTATCATTTTGTGTTTGGGTATATGCGTGTGTTCACATGTGACGACTGAAACCCAAACCAGCATAGTTTGTTGCAGTTTAACGTCATGTTTTCCTCCAACAAATTAATCTTTATCTATATCTGTCTAGTTCTCATTGAATCATCTGAATTATGACTAAATAGCATTAAAACCGATCGAAATGTTCATGTGCATGTGTTTGTTGTAAAAAAAACTGCACAGTGGAGTTTGCAGCATTCAAGTTTCAATGTACTTTTTAACTAAATTATTTTATTAGCCCTCTATGTACTTAAATTGTAACTTCAACTTCATTAAAACTAAACTCTGCGTATGCAAGATGCAACTCTAGTAACATACGTGCTACCACATCACACGAAACAACATACAACACACACACATATTCATACACAAACACATTTTTAAAACATGCATAACTTGTTATTGTACTTCAAACGTCGAAGGTTACAATTATGATTATGATTCACGTGTATTATGAATGAATTTAAAGAGAAAATTATATTATAGAAGTACACCCACCGAACTTTTGATAATCAGGCAACGAATGAATGAAGACAACGCCTTGTTAGTTGTAAGGCTGCCTGCTGTGATCGACAAGACTGAATGTTTTCTACAAGTATTTTGTGCTAAAAAATTTGAATACACCTAAAGATATTTTTTTTTACTTCGGATTCTTGGATGATTCGGCATCAAATCAATCGTCATTTATGAATGAAAGAATCATTTCCAAATCTGATATTACGTTCATATTTTGAATTTGTTTGTTGGAATTCATCGCTGTAGTATAATAACAATATTTAGTTGGATTGTACGATTTGTTTGGAGCATGTTTGATTCTAGTAAGGAAAATTGAAAAGACAAACTTTAAATTGATTAATGCCAACAAGTCGGTAGAATTCATACAATACTGTATAAAATATGGTATGGTATTGTTGCGGTTGCGTTTGATGATGAGAACACCGAACCAGAAGAGCAGTGAGCGGGAGAAGAAAAGAATAGTATTCGTTTGGATAGACTGGACACGTGTTTCGTCCCTACCGGGGACTCATCAGCAGCCCGAATACCTATCAGAACAGTTATCGCAGTTTCTTATAAAGCCCGCACAAATCAACTCCTTATTTCGTGGTGTTTTATTTATTAGTCTTTTTAATTGCTAGGATTTTCAATCCGACAGTATATTTTCAGACGCAAAACAAACGAGAAATGCAAAATGCGGTTTGATGGTAAATAAAATTAAAATCCACAAGAATTTAAAGTCTTTAACGTACGCACACGTACACAGTTAGTTTAGCGTTGCGTTTTTATTAGTTGCACATGTACGCGAACGATCATCAAATATTGAATTGGAGAAGATAAATCACTTCAAAACCAATCCCTTAGCCGCATTCCTGCCTCATTTCAAACAGACATCCTGCTAAGCTTTAAGATGAGATTTTATAAAAAATTTCTAACATTACCTAACAAATCAGGGTTTATAGTGATTCAAAAGACCATAGTGTTTGTGTGAAAATCACTGCAAATTAATTGTCTTAACATTCTGGTTCTCCCAGCTTGATCTTGAAACTCTTGGTTGATCATTATAATAATTATTAATTTTCAATATTCTCATATCGACACACCTGAAATAAAACATCTGAATAAAAAAAACAGTTGATACAGGTGAACGTTGAATAATAATTACATTGAATCGATCACTTCTACTGTACATCATTCTGTTAAACCCAAGTGCGGTGCATGCATATGTAACTTTGTAACCATATGTAACTTTGCATGCATGCATATTTAATTCGCAACTTTTTTTTATCAACCCTGACAGTCAACAATAAACTTTGGTAAAAAAGTGTAATGCACACGCTCGTGTTCATACGACGGAGTGCACGCACAGGCACATGCATGCTTAAATAACGATGTTCATTTGATCACAGATAAGCATGAAGCGGCTTATAAACAAAACAATTAAAAGTATATTTCAATAGCTGGTGAAAGCTCAAGGGGAAGACAATAATCCACTTCAGACGACGTTGTACGCACACATGCATATACATACGCCTACACATTGTGTTGTTTATGATAAGTGATTTCATTTTTGCATTCGTTTGGGTAGTTAAACCTATTTATTCAGCTTCACATCCTAAAACGTTTTAAAGGCTTCGGAACGCCTACGACACTAGATTAATTTACTAAGAATGCTTCACGTTAAATTCAATTTAGCTACTGTTGCTCGCTCCACTTTGGTCTTCTTGATTCCTCACCCTACTCCATATCCTATCTGAGTTACGTCCCGGTCTACAGTCCTCTCTTTATTCTCACTTTTTTTAACTGCTGTCAAATACTCTTAAGCTAAACCAGCTCTCTGGTCTTTGTTTCTGAAACTATCTTCCTTCTTCTCCAACTACCTCTCCACCATTGGCAAAGTTCAAAAAAGATCTCAAGACCCATCTACTGACAGAACTTATTGAGGAGTACTGTTGAACATATTTAGTGGATATATATAATTTATTTGATATATATTCAATTCATTTTTAATTTATTTAGAAATACTAAACAATAAAAACGAAAATTAAATATTAATGTTTATTTTTGTTCTTAATTTTTAATTGTAAATAAAACAAACAAAAATTTATAAAAAAAAATGAAAAAGGTTGGCGAAGATTGTTTGATGCAAGGGTTGGTTGTCATGGTACCTCTCCTCAACATCTTCTGCCTCTGGAAGATTCGAGAAAAAGTTCGTACTCAGAAAAATATAGAAGGTAGTGCTGTGTCCGACATTTTATCCGTCTGCTGTTGCATGGAGTGCGCCCTCTGCCAGGAAGCAGTTGAAGTCGATGCCTTATCAAGTGGTCAGCCCATAGCAAGATAATTCGTCGTTGCACGTGATTGCTTGCGTATCACGTGGTTGATGAGAACTTTGAAACATTTTTTAAATGTTAAGCCATCCATTTCATTGCCTTTTACGTGTTACAATCTGCTACTATTGTATATTTTCATTCTAATAATTATTTATTTTGAAGTGGTTGTCATATTAATCTGAGATACTTATTTATAAATTTTATTTTTTTATGGGATAGTGATGTCTGTGAACAAACACTAACGCAAACGTGAGTGGCAGGTGATGAAATATGGTTGTTAGTTTATGAAACTACCTTACAAAAAAATTGAATAATATACATTTTTTTAATTTTTATATTCGGCATGCTGCTTATTCATTACTCTACGTGTACGTAGAGTTATACTATAGGTTTAACAAAAATTTATTCAATACAACCATCTTGTCATTCAACTTATTCGTTAAGAACTTTTTTTTACTCAGATGAACTAATCAACGATTTTTTTTATTTTAAAAATTAGTTTTATTTAATTTAAATTTTAATAATAAGTTAACAAAACAATTTGTTCTAAGTGTATTTTTTATTTAAAATAATGTTTTTTCTTAAAACATTTAAATAAAATTTAAACTGCTTTTTTAGTCTTGCATGAAGCTTTGTTTTTTCGCTTTTATCTGTGTGTTGATTTTTTTAAAATTGACCAATTTTTGCTAAACCTATATATTTGAAATGGTTACATCTTTATTTTGCGATGTTACATTGCCGTTACAATCAGAAATAGTATGAGTTTCAAAACCGTCTTGTTTAATTGTTTTCAAAAAAATTGTTCAAAGTGTTTTGAAAAATGACTGTATTTCTTCTTTGATCAGAAATATCCTGGTCGTAATATCAATGCCTCGTTTCTCATTTTGGATATGCTTGACCATGTTGGTCCCGAGTTTCCTGATTCGCATATTGTTGATAGGAATACTCTTGACCTCCATATCCTTGGCCTCCATATATTTCTTGACCTTCATATCCTTCTTGACCTTCGTATCCTCCTTGATCTTCATATCCTTCTTGACCTTCATATCCCTCTTGACCTTCATATTCTTCTTGACCTTCGTACCATCCTTGACCTTCATAAACGTGTTGATTGTCATAAGTTTGTTGACCCGCATATCCGCCTTGATAGTCCGGATATCCACTCCATTCTTGATATGCATCATAGCCAAAATTATTTTCCTCCCCTGGATTTACAGGGTGACCACTTGTAGAGTTGTGTCTTGACTCGTAAATTATTTGTTCAATTTGTTGTTCATCGATTTGACGTCCAGGCTCAGCGGCCAGCAGTCCTGAATCATTTAATTCCGGCTGTTGTTGATGTTGGCCTGTTAATTCTTGCATATTGCTTTCTACAGGATTTTCAAAACTCATATTATTTACATACTCAGTCAAATGATTTTTGTCATTTTTCGTACACGGTTTTAGTAAAATATTGTCGCAATCGGCTTCTATTATCATACCATAATTGCCTTCAAGATTAATTTGCGAATCTGTTTGCTGTTGTTGATAATATTGTTGGTTTGGATTGGTTTCTTCTTGATTTTCATTTTGTTCATTTGGCTGAAATTTGATTTGCCCAACATCTTTTGTTTCTTGTTTTGCATTCTCACTAACTTTTTTAGCTATTTCATCTTGTTTTGTTTCTTCCTGTGAATCTTGATTAGATTTTTCTTCCAATTGAACCAAATTATTTTGTTCTTCTCGTTCTTCTATTTGTTTTGCTTCTTGATGTTCCTCTGCTGACTGGTTTTTTGTAAGTTCTACCACAAAAACAAAATCATTTTCTGGTATTTGTTCTTTCATTTCCGCTTCATTTTGTGAACTGCTTTGTTTTTCCTCTTGTGTTATCTCCTCATTCAAAGGTATTTTTTGTTCACCAGTAACGTGTTCCTCAGTGACATATTCTCCAGGTGTTTGTTGTTCAGTTACATGCTGTTCAAGCTTTTGTTGTTCCAACGTCTCATCATCCTGCAAAGAAATTATTTCTTCCTTCAAAAGTGGTTTTACTTCTTGTTGGTGCTTAGGTGAATCATCGCAAGCTTGTATAATGTTGTCATTTTTAAAAATTAAATCTTCATTAGCAACTTCAAGATTTTTTTTATTATCACTTTTTTCAGCTTCGCTGTCACATTTTTCGTTGTTTTCATCTTTTTCTAAAATGTTTGGTTTTGATACCAATTTTGTTTCCAATGAGTCTTCTGGGAGTTCATTTATATTTTCCAAAGGTTTTACAGACTTTGATTGAAATTTTTTTGTAGATATACAAGGAGGAATTTTATTCAATTTTTCAAATGATTCAATTTTATTCATTGAAGGGCTGCTGGTCAGTTGTCCTACCACTAGTGGTTCTTCGAGTGGCTCAATAGGAATCTTTTCAGGACGTTTAGTTTCGATTGAGTTTTTTGTCTCCGGGTTAATTTGTTTAACGCGGGGACAACTTGTTGCTAACGGTGGACTTGACGTTACCTGTTTTGTTGGGGAACCATTTGTTTGGGTTGAGCGCGTTATTGATGGTGATTTGACAGTCTGACAATTTGATGTTAAGTTTGCTGCAGTTTGTTCAATAGCTTGAACTTTTGTTGCAGTAGGAGAAATGTTGTTCGACTGAATGGTTGTAGGGGCTTCTGTCTTTTGCTGTATAGGCTGGCCACTGCATTTAGCAGGTTGAGAAGTTTGAACATTTTTTTTTGGAGACGAGGATGCTAACGGCGGGCTGGTAGGTTCGTTGAAAGTACACTTGTTTGCTGCATCAGTTTTCGTAAACGGTTTCATGCTCTTAATCACCATGCAATTATTGGGCTTTTCTGGACAATCCATGAATTTTGCAGGCAATGATTTTGAAGTAGGTGCCATCTTTAAAAAGTTTATTTTTTGAGGAGTAGGTAAAGATTTGTTTGAAATTTGATTATTGATATGATTTTGTTTGGTAGTGCATTTTTTATTTTGTGCTGGTTTTTGAATTCTGCTGTTAGTTATTTGGGGCGAGAAAGTTTTGGTGACTGCACCATCATTCTGCTCCGTTTTACATTTGGGAGATTCAACATCTTCTTTGAAACTACATTTTTTAGTAGTCGATATGATGCTTTTAACATCTGATGATTTTGGTGAAGATTGTTTGGAAGCACTAACACATTGTTTGTCGATCACCTGATAACAATTCTTCAAAGAAGACTTCTTGGGTGTTTCATTATATGTGCATGGGTGTTGATTTGCAAACTGCTTTTCAGACTCTTGAATCGCTTGCTGTGCATCAAAAAATTCTTCTTGAATTTCTGGTGGACGTTTTTGAGCACCATTTTTAACTTCACCTAAACAATCTTCAAACACTTGCTCTTTTGTTTGCCAGAGGTCGCCGTGGTGCATTTCTATACGTTCTTTGCAGCCATTAAATTTAATTTGAAGTTCTAATTTATTTTGCACATTAGATATAGCTTCCTTTAATTCCGTCATGTTTTTAAAAATTTCATTCAGCATATCATCACAGCATTGTATTTTTTTTGTTTTATCTTCCTTCGATTCCAATGTCACCCACATTTCTTCTTTTTGCACCTCCTGTTGAATTTTTTGCTGCTCAGCATACTCACATTTCTGACGCCGAACCACCTCCGCTATTCTTTCAAACGCTTTTTTGCCTGCAGAATTTTGAAATAAATAGTCAAAAACAAATTTTAAATATCCGCATCAATGTTTTTGAAATTTAAGTACTTTTAAAAAACGGTTGCTTTTGTTTTTTGGCAGGTTCTTTTGGTTTTTCTTTTTTATTTTGAACTGCACAACAGTCTTGTTGATAAGTTTGAGCAAAAATTTTCTTGATTCCCAATTGCGACTGTTTAGAATGAACTCGAGTCATGTTGTTTCTAAGTGGATTGGCGCATTGTTTCGATTGTATCCGTGCCATGCTGTTCCTACACGACTGGGCACATTTTGACCTGCACAGGCTCAAGGAATCACGGATGTCCGCAGCAAGGATTTTTGGATTGTCGCAGCGAGAATGGCAGGAGGTAGAACTTTTTCGGCGTTTCCCTATCAAAAATTCCTCTACTCGTTTAATTATAATTGGACAATAAATAATAAAAGACTTCATAACAAGAACATAGATAATATTGTTTTTTTATTATCATTTTCACTACTGTTGTAATAACGATGATGACGTTGTTTCAAGCCTCACCACCAGACGGTCAGCATCAACACCAACCCCTCCATCATAAAAATAATTACCTCAATATAAATAAATTAAAAATATATAAAAATAAAAATATTTCCTCAACTACTCAATGAAAATATTTCACGAGCCCAACCTTCGTTCACATCTGCGTCGGCGTCCAAGGAATCTGAGGACCCGTCCCAACATTTACGACCCGCCATCTTGATTGCATGTTCGTTCAGTCTGCCTTAGATCTTTGCAGGGCAACACCACCTTAATAACAATATCACAAAAATATTTAAATTTTGAAACTAAAGAGTCGTTAATAATAAAAGATGAAGTTTTTCGTGACATTTTGTCATATTTGCGAATGTCAGTGACAGTAAATGAATAAAAAATTGAATGTAAAAAACATAACATGATAAAACTGTTTTCGAATTAAAACGTACTTGTATGCTAGTTTATTATTAATTTTTTTCATCATACATTACAATTTAATTTATTGGATGCTTTCTAGTTGTCGCTATCTGATGTTAACTCACTGAAATATTCCAAAAGTTTCACAAGCCTTGCCATCTATAAATAAACCATTCACAAAAAGTTCAAACGCAGGCAGACACCACATACGAATACATGCCGTTCCGTATCTTCAACCTCATATCATTGAGACTTGTTATTACTTCCGCGCATGTTACCAAAATAATTATTTTTTTAATGTTTGTTTTTGTGCTGCAATGTTTATTTTGGTGACGTTTATTAAATCCATCGGAGCAAGTTTAACTTTTTACATTATTATAACCATTTAAAATAATTTAAATAATAAGGACAAATTAGACAAATTATTTATTTAAAAAATATAGATATATAACATTATTTATGTTTTAAAACTGACGCTTTATTTACATTTTTTAATTTTAATGTTCATTTTCATCAACAAGTTATTAAATAAAATTTAAGAAATTAAACTTACACACAATTTTTCATAAACTTTACATAATATTTAACAAAAGATATTTGGCCGATGTACCTACCCTGGTATGAAAGTTTTAAAAACTGAAAAATGTTGAGACCGATTGAAAAGTTTTTGTTGATCGAATTTTTGGTTGTAACAACGCGCCACTTAGCTTCAAGCGCGGAAGTATCCTGGCACAAGGACGAGTTCTTCGTAAATGCTTACACGGACACGGCGAGGTCCATGAAAGATGCCATCTATCTGCAGGTCTACATTTTTCAGTTTAACTTCCAATTCATCCCGTCTAAGTAACCTTCTGCTGATATTTTAAAAATTTTCCAGCAAAATGTAACGGTCAGACGGTTAAAATGTACACCAGAGGGTAAACCGGAGTTTAACAAGCAGGATGCAGACGAATGCGAATGGAGACAACCGAACGGTAGATCCCTTAAACTGGAAAGGATGCAAGTGAGCAGAAGTGGATTTGAAGTTAAATATGGCACAAAAATTGATTATTTTTTTTATATTTATTTTAATAATTTAATGATTATTTTTATTTAATTTTAATGATGATAGACAGAGTTCAAATTTGATCGATAATTGTTTGCTGCCCCAATTTGAATAAAATTGGTTAAATTTATTTTTTCTAAATGTATTTTTTTAAATTTATTTTTATGTAATATTTTTTCTAATCCAGTGTCATGTTGAAATCATTTCAGATTGATGACAACACCTGTGAGCTAGTACTGGACAAAATGTACGTGGAAGATGGAGGAACTTACACGTGCATGCACATTCGAAACGGAGGTTTTTTTTATATAATTTAAAAATGGATTACATATCAGTGATATCAACGAAGTTTTTTTTCGTAATAAAATTTTAAATGTTTAACGAATAGCTTAAAAGGCGTTCAATTGTGTAATTGTGTCAGGCATCAACAGGCCGGTGTACGAGAGAGACATCGTCATATACGAGTCACCAATCTTGCACGTCACCAACAAGAGGCACTACTCTGTTAAGGAGTGTGACAGTGCAAAGATCAATCAGTTCATCGTTGAAATGAGAAGCTGGCTATGCATTGGATGGTTTAAATAATTTTTATATCAAAAGAAATTTCGATTAATGAATTTCATTTGAATTTTAATAATAGCTTTGATATGCCTGTTTGTTGAGTCATGAGTTAAACGTAAAATTGTTGGACAATTCAAATACTTACACACATTAATATCCTAAACATTTTATAGCCCGACAAACTGCATCTTCCACGTAAAGTTTTTGAGCTGCGAAGGGGTGGAAGGAGCAAATTCAGGAACAGTTGAGTTTCAAAATCATACTACCGCTTTCCTAACTTATTCAACTTAAGTTTTTTGTTGAGTTTATTTTCAATATTTATTTTATAACTAAACAATTTTATTTTCAAGCAAACTGCTATATTCGAGATTAATAGATACTTGGATCAAAACGTTCATAAACCTCTCTGCAATTTAGACTGCGTTAAACAATATTTTGAAAAATTGTTACTAGACAAAGTATACACCGAAGGAATGGAAACTTTGAAAGCAAACGAACCAGCCATAGAAGAAATTACAGGATACGTTCCTTTAGTGGATAGAAATACTGAAGCTTTAGCAGCTACATGCTTAGAGGGGTTTTTTGTTTATAAAGATTTAGTTTGCATGCCGTGTGCAGCTGGATATTATAGAACAAAAGAAATGCCCGTTTTGTCATGTAGTGAGTGCGGATATTTCTACTACCAGTCAAAAATTGCCTCTTCTTCGTGCGTTAGATGTCCATGGTTAGGGTTCTCAAATGCAAGAAATAAGATAACCGTTTTATCCTGCGTACCGATGTACATGACCTGGCAGTTTGTAGCTGTCATTTCTTTAATTCCAGTAGTGATAGTTTTGTTGGTCGCTACCGGTACAATAACAAGATGTACGAATAAAATATTAGGAGCAACTAAGAAATTTGATAAACCGCCGCCAATTTCTAAACAAACGCCTGCTAGTAGACCAATGTATCACGCTTCTTCCAGAAGACAAGCACCTAGAGCCACTGGAGATGTTTCGCAATCACCTGATATGCACGCGGCTGTTTCGCCAGCTGTTATGGCTGGAATGCCGAAAGAACTCACTCAATTAAAGCATCTTTCCGCAAAAGATATTGCTTTTCTTAAAAGAGATATGGCCCACATGAGAAATTTTAGTCTAACTTTTGATCCACGTTCAACTGGTTTCAATCGATCTTATAGACAAAAAAGACCTAAATTCAGAATTGATGACGAAGATCTGCCCGAAGCAATTCAAAAAAGACAGCATTCAGCTCTAGGTTGGACTAACAAATTTGATACAAGTTCCTACAGCCAACCGATTAGAAATTACGCCAAGGACTAACAGAGTTGTTGGCTCTGCAATTTTTATTTTTTATATTTAGTATAATTTATTAAAGTAATTTCATGTTTATTTAAAACTTATGAACCGCTTGCTTATTTAAAAATTTTTTGGTCAGTGAATATAATAAATTTTTTACGACGACATCTTCGAATTGAATTGTAAAACAGTGACGTAATATAGGCCAACAAGAAAATAAGGCGAGAAAATAAACTTCCGTTGATCAAAAAGTGTTGAAGACTAAAAATTTATAAATTTTGTTCTCTAAATGGTACATAATACAAAAAATAATTTTGATGCTTGAAAAATGTTTGTTTTACAAATGATTTACTTGTTCATTTATATGAAGTCTGTTTCATGCACAGAGATATACGAAGACGTGGGGGCATTTGGACACGTCGATATTTTCGTGACTAAGGCTCCAGTTGATTATTATAGAGGCGCTTACGAAGACCAAGTATCTTCTCCAGTTTTTATTCAACATGGACTCCAAGTGAGAGAGGAGGTATCCTGCTTCCGACTCGACGACGTTTCGAGTCTACCTATCGGGTCTGTGTATTCCTGGGTTACAAAGTTCATGCATCCCATTGCGCAAAAGTCAATGCGTCCCTTGTCGACGGGAGAGTTAGTAAACACCTCATTATACTGAAACTAGGTTTTTGCCGCGTGTTTAAGTGTAAAAGTTTAGGCGCCGTGTCTTGCTGCTATGTTGCAGTGATGGTTCAAACGCAAAAAATCCCCACCTCTCACATTCAACGTTGGTACCTCTGAAAATAATTATTATAAGAGAAAATGTGATGCATCCTGGATGGTATACAAAATATCATTCAATATTGAACAAACTCATATACAGATTGGAAATAATAAATGCAACATTGGAAGATAGTGGATTTTACAGATGTGTAGTCACATCTTCTATGGCAACTATCCGATTGATTTTTAATCGTCCAATAGTTGTTTATGACGTAAGTTTCAAAAACTATTATTGAAAAATTGTTTCAATTTCCAAAAAATATTTTTAACAATTGCAGTTACCACAATTTTTCTTTACACGAGACATCGTTTTTAGAATACCGCGACGCGATAAAATGCTAGCGAGACAAGTTTTTAAAATGGTTTTGGAAAGTTTTTGTAAAGGGCTGACACGAGGCTGTCTGTACACTTTTACAGATATGGGATTTCAAGCATCAGGATCTTTCTACAATGTACCTACTTATATTAGTTAAAATCAAAAAATTTAAAAAATAAATTACAGATCAAATAATATTTTTTCACAAATGACGAGTTCATGTAACTGAAATTTGTCTTAGAATTAATATTTAAAAATAATCCTCACTAACTACTCAACAGTACAAAATAGAAATGAAACAGCTGCCAGACAACAAGTACAAACAGCCAAAATGCGATCCTGCCTGTATAAGAACTAGTGCTGAAAACTACATGTTGGCAAATGACGTGAGGGAAAAAGATTTTTCAAATTTTGAATTTAGACAGATGTATCGTATAAAGAAATTAACTAAATTTGTCTTTGTGCCGGGCGAAAACCACTCCAAATATCATCAATGGTGTAAAGACGGTTTTTTTTTATGGAGAGATGAAATATGCCTTCCTTGCTCCCCAGGTTACTACGGTTATTATGGAAGTTGTTGGAAATGCGGATATTTTCAATATCAAGTCCATTTTGCTTCGAAAAGGTGCAACCTGTGCCCAAAGTTGGGCTTTTCTTTCAAAAGAGGAAAATCAGATCCAGATGAATGCGTGCCTTTTCAAAGTAATCGTGTCATGCAATTCGCAATGCTTTTTGCTGGAATAGCATCGTCAATGGGATGTTATGTGTGCGCTCTGCATTGTGGCCTTCTTCCTTGTATATACAAACCACCAAAAAACGGCGGAAAACCTACAAAAAAAGACGCACATTATTTGAAAGTTCTTGACAAGCATCGACAAAAAGCTCAACAAATAAAAAGGCTTTTAACGAGAGCCAAACAAATAGAAAAAGAAATGATAGGCGTATACTCAAAAAAGAAAGTCCAGATATCAAAGCAAAACGAAATGCTTGAGGTCATTAGGTTAAACAGGCAACAGCAAATGTGGAACAAAAATAGATCTAAGATGGGATCGCCTATGATGTATGGACCACCAGGATTTATGGGAGGACCACCTATGAAACCATTCATGGAGGGTTCACCAGGAATTATAGGACCTCCTATGATGGGTCCTCCAGGAGTAGATGGATTTCCCATGACGGGACCACCTATGATGGTACCGCCAGGAATAATGGGACCACCAGCAAGTATGGGAGCACCAATGATGGGGCCGCCAGCAATAATGGGCCCACCTTTAATGGGACCGCCAGATATGGTGGGATTGCCTACGAGTCCACCATAAATAAAATAATCATCTATTATGGATCCACTCCCAACGGGAAGCTCGCCTTGAACGCAAAGCGAGTCGAATTAAAATCTCAACTGACCTTGTCCTCTATTGTATCAATCCATGCTTTTGAAACGAACTACTTACATTCTAAAGTTTAATTTTGTTATTTCGTCAAAGTTGTTTAGAATAATTATTTTTGTTTTATTTATTTGATCTAATTTTTTGAGCGTTTGGTTTTTATTTGGTTTTTAAGCATGGTTTTTATTTACAAAACAGATTATAACTTGGCATTAAGTGTAAAATATATACAAGAATACAATATATGGACAAACAAAATCATCCGAGAGATCTGTTCATTTCATCCCCTTCAAAATCTTCAGCCTGTTGATGAAAAAAGTATAATTTAAAATTGTTAAGTAAAGTATGAAAATTGAAAAAATGTACCACTAAATTTTAAAATATAAACAGGTATGTGTGTGTGTGTGTTCATAAATATATGTTTACCCTATTCTCTTTATGTTCGATATCTTCACCATATTGTATGGAGTTATCGATAAAAATTAGCAGGTCATCAATGCTTTTCTCTTCTTTTATATTCAAAGGGACATACTGGACAAGACTGAAGTTATCTACCTGGAATATTGTAAAGAAAAATTTAACAAATTCAATAAAAAAAAACGTTGAATGAATTTAAAGTAACGCCAACAGAAACAAGACTAATAATCATTGCTGTCTTTACTGTTTGTTTTTATGTTTTTCAATGACCCAAAATTTCTTTTCATCGATTAAATTTTAAAAAAAGAAAATGAATATGTAAGATAGGTTAGAGAGTTCCAATAACCCTAAAAAATTGACAACAAATTATGCGTGAAACAAAATGGGTTAAAAATATTAATGATGAAAATAAATGAGAGTTTTTTGACTCAAACAATATAGATTGTAAAAAAACGTGTTATATGAATAATTAAATAAAAAGAAGAAATTTGAAAAAAATTCTAAAATTAGCATTTGTCATAAGTCATAAGCTGTCATGAATATGTAAATAAAATGTGCTAACCACTGATGCAATGGTAGAAGTGAGTTTTTGAAATTTTTTTCCTGCTATTGAATCTTTAGAACTGTTCAGTAAAAAATCTTTGGCACTTGAACTTAGGAATGACTCAATTTCCTTTTTAGACTTCTTGTCAAGTAAATCAATTTTTGACAAAACATTCACTGAGGCAACCTGTTTTAAAAATAATTGAAAACGAAATTATTAATAATGTAATAAACACAATTATTTATAAACAACAAAAATATAAAAAAATATGTAATTAATAATTGTTAATAATCAAATCAAAATAAAATCAAATTTTATTCAATCAATCCAAATTAATAATAATTAGGTAATGATTAGGAGACCAAAGCTAAAAGAAAACAAAATTCTTGTGTCGCAGGCCACCGCTCACAAATTGTTCATTCTAACACGATTTTTAAGTAAATTTATAATTCATGACAAAATTAACATAATGCAAAATTTACATTATGTTAATAATGTAATTAATAACACACCTCCAAGTTAACCATGGCAGAGAGTGCACACATCATGCCCGAAACATATTTGAAAGGGTCCACTAAAAACTGAGAATCGAGTAAGAAAACACTGCAAACTCTGAAGTTCCAATTCTTCAGCTCCTCAACAAGCAATTTCATCACCGGGCTGTGTGTGTACAACTCTATCTGACCTGAAGACATTTAACAAATATTATGTAATAATATGTAATAAATATTTTTACGTTAATTAGATACAATGAAGAGTTTTAAAAAAAATAACAACATAAAAATGTACCTGGACAATCGAACAGTATGTAATCATCTTCGACCTCGCCTAAGGAATCCCTAAGCCAGTGGAAGTTCTCTGACAAATGTCTGTAAATGAAAAAATAGTTATTATAAGAATAAATGATGAAATTATTATTACACGTTTTAAGCTTAGCAAAATGTAAGTTAAAACTGATTGTAATTTAAAAAATGACTTACTCCATGCAGAACATCAATCCTCCATTTGGTCCCAACTTCAAGTCATCACATTCCATCACATCATCAATGCTGATTAAATCTTTAATGTCTGTTTTTGAAAATCAATAAATATAATTTACTGAGAATTTTGCTAGTGGATGGAAAAAATATATATTTTATTATTTTATATATATTATTTTTTGGATATATTATATATTATATTTTGTTATTTTATTCATTCATTGTTTTTCTATTTTATTTTTTGTTGTTATTTAAGCTGTTATTTTGTTGCTTTTATGTCTAATAGCGCCTTTGAAGGATTTAATAAAAAGCAATATTACAGGTTACAACAATAATAATAATGACAATAACTGCGTAATTAATAGAGTCAATTACGACATCAATAAAATATAAATAAAATATTAAAAATAATCATATCAAATGAGATATTTATTGTTGTCTAGTTATTTATTATAGTTAGTTAGAAAAACTTGAAATTTTAAAATATTCAATAAAACATTTGAACTACCAGCTAGAGCGTCGTAACTGAAATATTCTGCAGCCGGGTCCAAGTTGACGACATCAATTGTCCTTCCGACTGCCTGGCCATATTTTTGAATCGCATCACAATACGTAGACTGCAGGGCAAACATTTCACAATCAATTTTGGTAATTCATACATGAATCTTTAACAAAATTAAAATTTAAATGTACAATTAGAAAGCAAGATAACAAATTTTTTTATATGTTAGGCCTGTCTGGAAAAACGTGATAAGATAAAAAAAGATAAATCATTAATGTTGTAATCTGTAATGTGTGCAATATCTTTAAGGTTTAATTAATTAATAAATACATTTTGTGAAAAAAGAGAAAAAGTTGCCATACAAACCTTGCCACTGCCGGCCGGACCGATAACTAATTGACAATAACGACTCATAATTGCCAGTTATCCAAAATGCTATCTATGCAAATAATATTAAACACAAAATATTTGCGAGCGGGTAATTAAGTAAGTAAATAAGTAATTAGTAAAAACTAAACACGTTGAGAAGTGAAAACGGTCGACCACAACAAGACAACAACGAAATCTACTTTTATACAACAACCGTTCAATTCTATGCTAGCTATATCAAGGGGAGGCCTATTTACTAATATACAACACTTTCTAATGGGTTGAAGTAGTGATATGCAAAGAACCTCAATTTTTTCAACTTTTTATTATTCTCTGTAATGTCTCTGTATTTGAGCGTAATTTTATTTTCATTACACATTCTAATTTATTATTACTAAGGTTGAGAATAATTTAATTTCATTGGTAGTTAAGGGCAATAATGTAATTCTAAGAACAATCTTGTAATGTAAATTAAAAGGCTGTGAGTGTATCGATAGGTAGGTTAATTATAAGTTTTACATTATTATTATTATTATTATTATTATGTTGGAGCCCAAGGCATTACGTAGGTGGTGGGGGTGGGTGCCGAAAGGCCAATGAATTGGGCTCTTGAGTTTTGTAATTTTAGGTAAGCTAAGGCCGTAATGTAATGAATAGGTAGGTTAAGGCTACGTTGTAACACATACTCATTAATAGATTTAGGGTTTAAGTTTTATATTATTATTACTAAGTTGGAGCCCAAGGCATTACGTAGGTGGTGGGGTGGGTGCCGATTGGCCAATGAATTGGGCTCTTGAGTTTTGCAATTTTAGGTAAGCTAGGGCTTAATTGTAATGAATAGGTAAGTTGAGGGTACGATAGCCGATAGACTCTGAATTTCGAAGTCTCTTGTCAGAGGTAAGCCTTGGTGGCCAGTGGTGAACCGGCAATGGTTTACTATCCGGACGGCAATGGTTTACTATCTGCACAGTAATGATTTACTATGCGGCACGACCATAGTCTACTACCCGCACGGCTTCCGGACGGCAAATGGTTTACTATCCGCACGGCAATAGTCTACTATTTGCACGGCAATGGTTTACTATCCGGTGCCCTGGCTGTCGGTGAGCCTCTATGCAAGGAGGGAGAATGAAGGGGGACTATCGTATCATTATCAATTTAATTAGTTAAGGTAATTGAATAGGTAGATAGGATTATTTTTATTAAGCAATTTGAGATGCAGGCACCGCCAAGCTTTCTGATGAGAATTTTCTCTCTCCATTCCACGGGCTGTGTTTCAGTAACAATCTCGAGGAGGACTGGCACCAGTTTTGGAGTACAACGTAGGAACCGGAAAGTATTCAACATTCTGCCTTTGTCGAATGAACGACGGTAAGTTTTTTTTACATTTTAATCTCTTTATTATTTTCAGTTATTATTTATTTGCCATTATTTCCATTTTTTTATTTTTTGCTTCTAAGATTCTAATATTCATTTACTACTACGTTAATAAAAAAAAAATGTCTACAGAATGATGAGAGGTGGGCAGTGGTGGGAGTCAGCACGTTTCAGATGGTGGTCTCATTATGATTTACGTATGATGATGGTGGTGTAGGAAAAATCAGCTAGTTGGCTGTTCGACTGACACTCAGAAGTTCGGATGAAATCTTGTGTGCCGATCTGAATGTGGTGGTCGGTGCAATGGATTACAGTAACGACGATTTTTGAAGTAAGGTTTAGTTTTGTTTTTTTTTCATTTTCTCATTCGTTCATTTTTCCCCTCAATCTTTCAAATTATTCTTCCATTAATTGACGTTAATTCATTCTATTCATTCATTCATTCTTTTAACTAATTATTTAATCATTCAGTTCATCATTTATTCGTTCGTTCCTTTGTTCCTTGATTTACAACTATGCTAATAAAAATAACTTTTTTACAGAATGATGAGAGGTTGGCTGTGGTGGGCGTCAGCACGTTTCAGATGGTGGTCTCATGATGATCGTTCCAATGACAATTTGAAGAAAACAACAACGACGATTTTCGAAGTATGGTTTAGTTTTTTTTTATTTTTCTCATTCATTTTATCACTATCTTTCAAATTATTCCTCTATTAATTGATTCATTCTATTCATTCGTTAAATCATTGATTGATTAATTAATTATTCATTCATTCAAACAATCATTCCATCATTCAGTTAATCATTTATTCGTTCGTTCTTTTGTTCCTTGATTATTTACCAACACGCTAATTAAAAAACTTTGTCTACAGAATGATGAGAGGTAGGCTGTGGTGGGCGTCAGCATGTTTCAGTTTCAGATGGTGGTCTCATGATGATCGTTCAGATGACAATTTGAAAATAAATTAAAAGAAAATTGGTTCTTGTCCCATCGTACCATTGAAAGTACTCGAATTTGTCATCTCAATAACATAAGTTGCCTTTTTTCCAATGGCTTGTGTTTTTATTTAAAAAAATTTTTTTTTTCAATTTAGTGTTTTTCAGTATCCGGTCAAATTCATTCCATCGATGCGTGTCAGATGATGGTCGGTGCAATGGAGGTTCGTCCGTAGTGAGTGAAGAAGTTTTTGGAGAGTACACGCCCGCACATTTACACACACACATCAATAAAACACACACATACACAACATCCATTCATTCGGTGTCGTTGTTGTTATGTTTTTCTTCAACTTTCTATTTTCTTTACCAGACTTAATTTAATTCGTAGGTAAGTTAGGGATTGAGATGAATTGAACAATTGTAGGTAGGCTAGGACTTAACATTAGTTAAAAAGTTTCAAGTAAAATAAAAACACTGAAATATGTAAAATAAAATACTTAAAACATGTAAAATTCCAAAAACGTAGAAAAAACATATTTGTAGGAAGGTGAGTTGAGTTAATGATTATAAGTAAGCTAGGGCCCTGAGAGTAGTTTAATTATAGGTAGGTGACTGACTACTATTCTTGCGACTTTTTACTAATTTTTGTGATGTGTTTGTTTTCGTTTCACAGCCCCACACCAACAAAACAAACTACATTTTATTCTCGTCGTCGCCTTAAATTTTACCTTTTTGAACAATCTTTTTAATAATGTCTATTTATTTATTTAATTATTTATTAAATGTTGACTGGTTTCTAGCTTTTTTTTATTTTGGTTATATAATTTTTGGATATTTCTTGATTTAATAAAAACAACTATTGTGTTTTTCTTTCTTTACTAAAATCTCGAAATTGTTTGTAGATGTGTACAGTTAAGAGTTTGAACAAGCCTTGCAAATATTTTTCAAATATGGTTCATTGATTGGTCGATTGGTTGGTTGATTAGTTGATTGAATGAATGGTTGGTTGGTTGATTGATTGGTTGATTGATTGATTGATCTCATAGTATTGTATATGAAAAAAAATCCGATTAAGCCAACATACGGCTTTACTTGGCCACTGTATTTCACCAGACAAAAGCAATTTCTTTATTTATATTGACAAAAATAATTGTGAAATGAATATATTGACTTATTTAAAGCATTATATGTAAAGAAAACCGCCATGACACTGTTGTATGAGACCCAGTAAGCCACTGCAGTAAACCAACTTATGATTTCAGCAACCATAATTTCTATGAGCACCAGCAGAATGTAAAATATTCATTGAATATAATGAAGATAGTTGTTCAAATAACAATTTTGATCTATTTAGGCCGTTTATTTTATGAGCAAACAAATTTTTAACATGATCGAATAGTGTAAAAAAAGGGTGACTATAGTTCAATCCTACAAAGCCAACCTTCGGCTTTAGTAAAAAGCCACCGGATTTCACAGGACCAAAAGTATAATTTTTATATTCGAATTAACAACAATAATTTAATAATACATAATTTTACTTAATAAAATCATAATTTTATTTAATAAAATTGAAGAGAATTACTACAATGTTTTAAGCATATTAAGTCAAGTAAATATTTCATATAGCTTGCTCGTTAAAATCCATGCAATTTCGTAAGCCAATAATCCAAGCATGTCAAATAGCCCGACCCTTGACTCGAACGATAATAAATCACCCTCCAAATCTTTTCCAGAAGTAAGCTCCTTGTTCGACCGTTAAAAGTGAGCGAAGGCCGTTATATTTATTTTAGTTATGTGGTCTAATTATATGAGCTATATATATTTACGATTCTTTAATATATAGATATAATTACATAGATACGGATTCAATTGCATTCAAAACATTACTACATGGATAAATATAATATTAATAAAATAATTTTTAATTAAAAAATTTGTCTATAGTAAGACGTTTGATCGTAAAAAAATCAATAAAATGTCAATTGCTACGAAAAAAGGTTTAATTTTTACGCGTTTAATTCCATAGAACTGTAGTAGTTTTTAATCAACTGTCATCCTATTTAGACTTTAACTCCTTGCTACCTGTATCTCAATCTGGTTTCACACCTGCTCACAGTACTGAAACTTCTTTACTTAAAATACACAATGATATCCTTCTCTCCAGTGACAATAGTAATCTTACTCTTCTTCTTGCTCTTGACTTTTCCTCGGCTTTTGATACTGTTGATCATACTATTCTCTTGAGACTGCTGCATCTTTCTTTTAATATTACTGATTCTTGTCTATCTTGGTTTTCTTCTTATCTCTGTAATCGTTTTTCTTCCGTTGTTCTCAATAATTTTACTTCTAACTCCTCTACTCTAACTTTCGGGGTACCTCAGGGTTCTATCCTTGGCCCTCTTCTATTTTTACTCTATACTTCTGAACTACCTCGTATTATTAATAACTTTTCTTTCTCTAGTTAGCTATATGCTGATGATTCTTACATTTATACTTCTTTTCCTCCATCTAATCTCAATAGTGTTCTTCATAATTTATCGCTGTCTTTCTTCAATTATCGCTTGGTCTGACTCTATGTGTCTTAAACTTAATCCTTCTAAGTTTGAATTAATTTGTTTTAATAAATCTAAACACTCTATTATTATTCCTCCTATTATCTTACCTGATTCTAAAACTCTTGATGTCTCTCATAAGTTTCGTAGTCTAGGTTTTATCTTTGATTCTACTATGTCTCTCTTCTCTTGCTAGAAGCTCTTACTTTCATCTACGTAAAATAAAAAAACTTTTGCCTTTTCTTGATGATCCTACTCTTCTCCTTCTTGTTACTTCGTTAGTCTTATCTAGGATTGATTATTGTAACTTGCTATACTATGGTCTTCCTGACTCTATACTCTATCCTTTAAGTAAAGCTTTTAACTTTGCTGCTCGTCTAGTTGCTCGTGCCCCTTTCTTTTCTCATATATCTCCGTATCTTGTTCTCTTGCACTGGCTACTGTTTAAGATAAAAAACCTTCTTTGTTTGTTTTTAATATAATTGTTTATTAAAGAAACGTTAATTGAAATATTAGAAGACACCTTAGTCGACAAAAAGCGAAAAAGGAACATACACGTGCAAGTTAGTCAAGTTAACAATAATATAAGATTGTCTGAAACTATGGAAAGTCATAAATATATTGATACATATATAATATACATATATATTATTTCAATAGCTACCTATAAAATATAGAATAATTTTTAAAATTTGCACGTTCATGTATAAGTCTCAGTCTAAATTATTTCCTAAGTATTTATCAGATATATTAATTGAACCTAAACGCCCCGGTTGACGATCGTCTTCTTCTTCTCGCTTTTTCTTAACTCGTGTTAAACACACTTTTGCCAAATCTGCTTTTCCTTTTTCTGGTCCTTTTCTCTGGAGCTCTCTACCTACTTCTCTGACTACTTCTCCATCACTTAGAAGTTCAGAGCGGATCTCAAGACCCATTTGTTTTCAAAATTCATTGAGGAGCGCTGTTGAACATCGCGGAAATTGCGCTTTATAAACTAATTGATTGATTGAATTGAGGGATCAAACATTTATTTATTAACTATCTTATATATTAATTATTATTGAAGATTATTGCAATTTTCAATGTTACCTAATCTATGTTAATTTTTATTTCTTTGCTTTTCTCTCGATTTTCTTTTTTCCTAAGAGCTTGTAAATGAGACGGTTCGAGATTCACGTTAGAATAAAGTTAACATTTTTTTACGCCTGAATTGTTTACTTCACAACAAGGTGTCTTGTTAGTAGCAGAACGCTCGCACTAACAGAACTAAGCAAAATTATTAGGCAGGTAATTATTATGCCATATCCATTATTATATCCCCATGCACTATTATACATTATTTAACAAATTTTTTCATCATCCTCGTGCTCTATCCTTTCAGGGTATTGGCGACCATCGACATTCACAAAACTCGATCTTTAACACCTTGTAGTAGTTGCAATGTAGCTATATTTCGTTGATATCCATATTACCTTTACAACCTGAGATAATCAGACTTCAAAGATAATTGAAGTTGTTGACTTGTTTCACCTGTTTACCATTATTGATTATGGAGCAGATTGGGACGGTTTTGTTTTTACGATAACCATGCACTCTGTTTTGCCAATGTTAATTTGCAAGCCTTTCCTTTCACTTTCAAAAACCAGTTTGGAAACAATTTTTTGCAGCTTTCCATTGAATCTGCTATAAGAGCTGTATCATCAGCCTGTCTTACCTTGTTTATATTCACGCCTCCAATGGATATTTTTGGTAGATCTTCTATCTTTCTCATGATAGTCTCACTACAGAGATTGTACAAGTCTGGAGTGAGTACACAGCCTTGCCTAACACCTTTTCTTATTTCGAAAAAACTTGTCATCTTGTTACCAACTTTTATCGATGTTCTTTGGTACCAATGGAGGTTTTTCATATATATGCTAAATGCCAAATGTCTCGTGTCTTTTCCATCAATATCCATACTTTCAAATTTTTCAATAAGCTTCACGTGTTTCACGCTGTCAAAAGCTTTGGAGTAATCGACAAAACATAAAAACAAGCCTTTCTTCATTTCAATCGCTCGTTCATTGATCATTCGTACCATAAAAATAGCGTTTCTTGTGACACAATCTTCTACAATACCATAACATAACACAAACATAACAGAAAATAGAAGCGCGAACTGACGTTCCTATGCCTTCAGCAAATGAAAAGCTTCCATTCTATTTTAAAAATAAAATAAATGAAATAAAATATAGTAGACGAAAATACAGATTGTTAATGACAAATGTCTCCACACACTTACACACGCGTCAGCCCATACACACACATTAACCACAAAGATGTTAATGATAATATAAATATATAAACTATGTCATAATGCCAAGTGAGGATCTCCAGTTGAACATCATGTCCGTAGAATTCATGTGTCGATCCAACTTCATCTTAAAAGTTTTAACATCTTTAGCCATCACAATGTCCGCATCCAAGCCATTCCATAACTTGAACATAATTCTGCAATACCATATTGGACATTCGAAATTTCAGATCTGATTTTGCTTCGTGTTCTCATCATCAGAATTCTCAAGAGAAGTTTTGTAAGATGACTCATCAAGCTGATTGTTTGATGTAGTTTACATTCCGTTGCATTAGGTTTTTTAGACAATGCAATATAAATAAATATTACTTGCATTGCCTTAAAAAATACAATGCATTCAATACATTATCAAAAAAATCAAAATCAAATTTTACAATTCTCACATTTTTTTATAGTTCGATAATAACTCTCATTTAATTCTGAGGATTTTATTTATATTGATTATTTTTCAATTTCATACATTTGCATAATGTTTTGGTATATATTAATTTTTTTAGTGTTTTTATAAATAGAGCATGGGAAAAATTATCGGCATTTGTAAACCGTAAACGTTTTTTTCATTCACCAATTTATAAATAAATAAGTGAATAAAAGAAAATTTTTATTTGTGTTTTTATAAGTACGTGATAATTTATGAATTGAAATAATTTTTTATTGACATACGAATATCTTAATTAATTCATTTATTGTAATTCGATATTGAAGTCAATTTCATTAAACAAAATCAACTCTAAAGTTTTCAACAACATTACAAATAAGAGCAATGAAGTGAAGCCAGGCAGATTGGAAAGTGTCTGAAGACGTGACGAGGAGTCGGTGCTACCACCAGTTTCAGGGACAGAAGTTGAATTCGTTGAATTGCCAACTTTAAATTATTCGAAGTTTTCGTTATAAATTTATCTCATAATGCCAATTATTTAAATGTTTTCAAGGGCTATATAATTTTTTACATCAACAAAAATTAATAATTAATACAACCATTTAATCCAGGGGTGGGCAAACTTTTTGCTGTGAAGGCCGCATTGACAACGAGTCGTTCACCGGGGCGAATTTATTTTTTTAAGATGTTCATTTGTGGCTGACGACCTTTTTAGGACCGTATTGTGATTTTACATTTTTTTAAGAAAATGCAAACAAGGCCATAGTTTGCCCACCCCTGACTTAATACTTACTGCATTGGTATTTTCCGTCATCTATAAATTCACAAGTCTCTTCTATCTTGCATGGGTTTGAATCTTCGCAAATATCTTTAAGTGGGATTTTGAAAGATAAAATATTAATATTTTTAACTAGAAGTGATATTTTATTCAATTTTATTCACCTTTTTTTTCACAATGACTGCCAGTAAAAGGACTTTTGCACAAGCACTTGTACAATGCACCATCCACCTGACACGTCCCATCATTCTTACATGGCTTCTTACTGCATGCAGTTTCCACACCTTCACACCTGTCTCCCTCGTAACCCCCATTACAGTGACATTTGAATGAGGCTGGAAACACGTAGGTGCACTTTCCCCTTCCGCTGCATAATTGTTCATCCGCACATTTGTCTAATTTGTGGAATATTTGAAATTTGCATTAAATTTTTATGTTTTTTTGGTACTTTAACATTCAAGTGATTCATTATTAGATTGACGCTAACTTTCAAATTCGCAGTTGACTCCTGTATACGCATTTGAACATTCACATTTATAGTCGGAATGAATATTTAACGTACATTGTCCTCCGTTCATGCATGGGTCAGAAGAACAATGATCCGTCGTCGTTGGGTCTAAAGGATACAGGCAATTCATAACATACTTTTTGATCATTTTGTAAATATTTACTATTTAAGTTCACTATTGCTTGCAAGTTTAATTAAGGAAAATTTTGAACATTAAACAAACCTTTTTCGTGGCACTCGTTTCCGAAAAATCCACTCTTGCATGTGCAGTCGTATGATGATGAGTTTGATTCTTTCACCTTGCACGTGCCCCCGTTGAGGCAGGGTGCTGACGAACAAACATCGGCGTTCCCATCTGCATTCATTTACGATCACAATTACTGCTGCCATGTTCATCGTGATCAATGTTTGCTTTTGGGCTATCAAAACTTAGTGGATTTTTATATAACTATATTAATCTGCTCACCTAACTTCTCGCAGTTACTGCCAGAATAGTGGCCCAAACATCTGCAGAAGTACCCACCGTCTTCTTTCTCATAGCACACTCCCTTGTTCTCACATTTGCTTTCCATGCATTGTTCTTTTAGTAATGAACGAATGAAAAAAGTTAATTTTTTTCTGGTACGACCATCGTCCGACTTTTAAGCATAAAATTGACACTTTGACTTACTTTTTTAACTGAATTGTTTTTAAATTGAATTGTTTATTTTATTACATCAATGCAGTTAACTAATTTTCTGAATGAACAAAACTATGCCTGCTTACTGTTGAACTCGCAATTTGGACCCTCGTAAACAGACGTGCATTGGCAATAATATTTACCATCAGCTCCCACATCACACTTAGCGTTGTTCTTGCACGGATTAGAATGTGTGCAAACGTCTGAGAAGGTGAAAATTATATATATTTTATCACTCATCAAACAGATCAAATATATAATCTATTTTTTATTGTTCAATAAAAAGTCTGGAAACCTTCCACCTCACAGTTCCATCCAATATATGGAACATTACATTCACATTTATAACCCTCCCGTCTCTGTATGCATGTACCGTTGTGCTTGCACGGACTGCTTAAACAGAATTCTGAAATGTAAATGAAACAATTTGAATGAAAAACTCCTTTCTCATTTTAAGAAGACTTAAAGTTAAATTGTTGTTGCCCTATCTCATTCTCCATTATAAACTTCGTTAAAAGTAGGAACAACAATTACGTTACGTCATGCATCCATCACAATAGTTTGTGCAGGGAATTTGAAGTAGGAAAATATGAACAGCAGCAACAGTCCAATTAAATATCCAAATCGACACAACGATAAAACACTAGCACGTTGTAAATCGATACTTTTGATTTTGAGTTTTTGGGTGAATAATTATTTATGCATATGTTGCATTAATAGATTTAAAGTTTGTCTTTTCAATTTTCCTTACTAAAGTTTCTGGAAGTTGCCCAATAGAAAAAAGAATTATTATCCAAGTTCATCATGAAAATTTAATAAAACTGTTGTTATCCAAATTCATCATGCATGTTTTGTATCAACATGATAGGCAATAAAATATTTTTTTTATAATTTAAAAAGTGTGACACAACGCAAAAAAACTTTCAAATGGATTCAATCGAAAAATTTTAAAGGTAGTTTAAAAGTTAAGTAGGATTTCATCGGTATACTTGTGCGCTGCTGTAAGGTCAGTGTGAAATCGATCAATGAAAAAAGAAAGAAGGAAACCAATTGAAAGCCGAACCTTCAATTTTGCAATTTTTTCCGGAGAATCCAGCTCTGCAAAAGCACTCAAAGTCCAAGTCACCTTTTTTCTTACATACGCCTTCGTTCAAGCATGGCTTAACATCTTTGCAATAATCTGCATTGTTTATGCGTTGAGAACAATAACAATGCTAATTAAAATAATAACAACAATAAAAATAACAATAATATTAATAAAAATAATAATTGCAATTAAAATATTGTAATAATAATCTGAATAACAGACAGTTAAAACAGTTAAAACAAGGACAGCTATTTGAACGGAGAATATTAACTAACCTGATATCTCGCAAAGTCTCCCATAGAAGTTTCGCAAACATTTGCACTCGAAACTACCGGACAATGATCGACAACTGGCTCCATTCTTACAAAGATTACTGACACAATAATCTTCAATTAATGGTTTAAAAAATTAATGATTTGTAATCATAGCATATATATATATAAATATATATATATATTTATTTATTTATTTACAATGATTGGGAATATACGAATTAATTAATTTTATCATTTGATTTCATAAAATTGTTTATGAAACAAATTAACTCAATATGTACTATATATCCCTGGCTAGTCCACAGCTTGTAAAGTTATTAACAGATCAGAATTAAGCAAGCATTCTAACTTTTGACAATAGTTTTTTTAACTTTGTGACCAACCAACCATCTTATTGGCCAACCATTTAACCAACCAACCAGCCAATCAACTCTCTAACCAGCCACCAACCAGCCAGCTAATCACAATATCTAACCAGCTACCAACCAACCAGCTAATCAACCATCTAACCAGCAACCAACCAACCAGCTAATTAACCAACCCGCCAAACCATCCAACTAACGTTCTAACCAATCAATCAACCAGCCAGCCAACCTATAGCACTGCAAGTTTTTCCAATGTAGCCTGCTTGACAACTGCACTCGTAATCATCACCTGTGTTTGTACAACTCCCGTTATTTTTGCACGGGTCTGATTTACATAAACCTGTATATATTTTAAATGTTTTTACAACGTTATTCTAAATAACTTTTGTTATAAATATTAACTTAAATATGCAGCTTACTTTTGGTTTCGCAGTTAGTTCCCTCGTAATCATCCTTGCACACACATTCATAACCGTCGTTTTTTTTCTTGCACTCTTTAGTGTTACTCGTTATGCAAGGGTTGGCTTCTTTTGTACACCACTGGTATTCTATTGAAGTTTTTTCAAATTAAATTTACTTTATTACGAAATGTTTTAGTTGTTTAATTGTGTTAAATTAATTTTTAAAAATTATTCTGACTTATTGTGCAATTGCTAGAGTATGGTAGTTCACAAAAACACTCGTATTGTTCTTGAAACTTATTGAGACATTCTCCATTGGGACAATGGTTAAATTCTTTAATGCACGGATCGATACCTTTAACAATGATGTAAAATTGTTTATTACAAAATCTGAATATGAAATCTATATAGTGAAAAATTTTGCCTGGTAAGCTGTTGATTTTCACACTGGTCAATCTGCCCGGCTGTTGTATATTTTTAATAGCACACGGTATCATCCTGGCGCCAGTTACTTTTGCAAACTCCACAGCGTGTACTCTGTTGTTCTGCGTCGACATCATTGTTTTGTGGTAAGCAGATGATGGGAAGATGCCCTGATTTTCTGAGATGTAAAATTCTATTGGAACATCGGACTGCAACTAAACAAATCAAAAACATGAATTGTGGTATTACTTATAACTAAAAACCAAACGCAAATAAACGTACAATTTATTAATATCATTATAACAATTGTTCAATAGTTTATTTGAAACATTACTTCTAGCAGTGTTTTAATATTAGTGACATCCACAAGATAGTTGGCTGATTTTCCTCCATAAAACTGCCTCTTCCGTATTTTCCCATCGGATTTAATGCTTGCAGGAGCTTGAATTTCGATAAAGTTGATAAAATCAAAAACATCAGCGTGATCAATTTACTTTATAAATAACCTCTACAAATTTTTTCAACGACTTCTTCATCACTAAAGCGAGAGTCTTTCAAATCATTCCAAACTACTCGAGTAAATAAATTTGGTTCACGAACATCCTCAACTTCAAACGGCTTACCTACAGTTATAGTTAGTACAAATATACCGGTGTCCAGCACCTTTTGTAAACTTGCTTTCGTTTTTAATGTATCGCCTGATGTGCCAGATGTCATCAGCACTGCTACGTGCGGTCTCAAGTCATCCTTGTCTCTGTTGAAGATATCTCCTTCCAACAAGTAATCTAATGCTTTGTGAGTATTTCTTTCATCTGAAACGACATTTGCTTTGATAACAATTATGGTCAATATGGTCAATAATAATGATATAGAACGATGGTCAACAATATAGTCAATATTTATTTTAGTCAAAAAATTGAAATGCATCTTAGCATTTTTTTCTATGGTTGATTTATATTTTTTTGACATAAATTTTAGTTATTTTATATAAAATTAAATATTAAAAACCTTTTGTGTTATTAACAGTTTTTTTGAAAGCTTCGTTTATTACAGACGCGTTATAAAACTTGCCCATTTGAAGAATCTCGACAGAGTTGTTGCTGAACAAGACGACAGAAATGTGACTGCTGTGGTCCAACTGTTTACGAAAGTTAAACTGTCTGTTCGCTATTAATAAATTCATGAACCTCACGAAGTTCTCAAAAATACTCGTGTCATTTTCCTTAGTTTCGTCCATCAAAAAGACGATGTTCGCGTAAACAATACAATCTAAAATAATTTTTCAAAAAGTAACAAACAGCATTATTATTTTTTTTTATTCTTTTTAAATTGAAGAATAACCGACCTTTTGGTAAAGATTGTAAATTGAAAGCAGTTTCATTCCTTCCACCTCCAAATTCTTTTGCCCATAATAACGCTTGTTCGGAGATGCTGGCAGAAATATTTTGCGTTTTCAAATCAATTAAAATTTGAGCCGCTAATCCATTGTACAAAGGTATTTCAAGATCTACAAATGAGGTGTCTGACCATGTGATGTTAAACTTTTGTTTTAGTTTTTCAGACAAATCTGTTCTCAATTCAAATTTCGTCTTGTCGAGCATTTTATAGCTAATCTTCATCACGTGTGATAAATTATGGTAACAATATAATATTAATAAATGATTCGAAAAATAGTTAAAAACCACATTGATATATGCGCACCTGCCATATTCCTTTTTTAACACCCTCAAATGTCCCATTTTTAGTACCAAAATTAGATTCTACGTAAGCCATCCTTTTCAAAAACAGTCTGTCGTCAGAGAAGATTCCAGAATTGTGAATTTGTGAAATGACATTTTCTACAACCTCCAAACCTTTTCCTTTTGCTTTTCTAGAAAAATCGACACTTTCACAATTTAACAAACTTTTTCTAGCCACCACGATCAACACCAATAGTCTCACAAATCCTGTTAAATAAAGCACAAAATACATGAATCAAATTTTTAGACGTTATAGAGAGTCTAAATGTTTAATTATTATTTTTATCCAAGCTGATCAAAAAACTATGTTGAAGGGAATATATGCAGCTACGATTGAAGAGTAATTTGCTAATTTGCGCAAGAATATTAAATCACTCCACATAGATTGTTGACTTATTTATTTATTGTTAAACACCAGCAGAAGTGTCAAGAGAAATTATCATTGAATCTGTAATCTAAATGCAAATTTAAGTGTTTTTGCTATTAAACTACATAAAAAGTGAAAGCTGTTGTAAATGTAGGCTTGAGTCGAAATAAAGCTTTTAAAAACATTACGATATCAGTAATGAAACATAAAACAATGCATTACATTTAATTTTATTTTCAAACTTGCGAAAACAAAAAGAAATATACACATTTAAATTTATTGCATGAAACAACATGCCAAAAAGAACGAAGTGTTCAGCAAAACGAAATTGAAAAAATGAATGAAAAAAATCAAAATGAATTTTTAATTGCAGAAATTAATTTAATTTGGGGTGCAAGATGGCTCAATGGTTAAGGGCATCTGTTCGTTCGTTGCAGTGATTGACTTCAAATAATCAAAAACACCTCTTTGCTTAGGAGTTCAGAAAATTGTATAAAACTGCCACAAACCGTTAAAAACTTTTTTCAAAATTGTTTCTATGTCGAATTTATAAAATAAATTGATTCAGTGTTCTGAAGAAGTCAAAAATGACCTTCGTTTAACAAACCTGATTACAGCTAAATTAAAAAAATATTTGCAGGCAGTAGCTGATATACGGGGGAGACCGGGAGGCACTGGCTACTCCCGTTGTGAGCGTTGTTTGTAATAAAAGTTAGTAAAAGTCGTTGTTTTAACGGAAAAAGTATGAAAAAAATGACACCATAAGCCCATTAGCAGAAAAGTTGGCCTCCGCCGTGAGCAAAGAAAGATTTTCGAAACGAATTTGTGAAAAGTTCCCCCGATGATCATCGCAATTGTGAAATTCCCCCTGTCGTCATTTTTTTTTCAAAATCTTGGCCGTCTCTTGTCAAAGTTGTCTAGATCCGCCACTGTTGGTAGGTAGACAGCAGTTTTTCTTTGACTGTTGAGATTACTCCTATAAAACCATGGGCATGAAATGGTTACCAGAGCGTTATTTTAGTCATAGTTAAACATTTTAGTTACATTGGCATAAAATTTTCAATCGCCGTATTGATTCTTGCTGCACTTGCCAACACACTGTTGCTCTTCGACTTTAAGGCTTATCTTCTAAACTTATTTTGTATTCTCTGGGCTCAGCCGTTTGTTTGAAAGAACAAATGTCTGAGCCCGGAAGATATAAAATAATCATAGTATAAGATTGAGATTGCCATTCCTTTCTTGGTCCATTCCACTGTTAGACCAAGCAGTTGGGCACATAGTTATTTTTTCTGAAAGTATTTTCAAGTTATATTAATTTATTGAAATTTAAATCAATAAATATTAAAACTTAATTTGGAATATTTGTTTCAAAGACAAGTTTTTAAACTCTTAGTTTTAAGCCTGCTAAATATGAAACTGACAAGAAAATCAAATTATGGAACTTTTAGTGAATTATTTTAAAGGCTTACTTATTTATTGTTTTTATGCTACGTTCGTAAGAAAACAATGTCGGGAAAGGATTAGTGTCGGATGAAAATTATTTAATTAAATGTCACAAAACTCTTTTATTTACATGTTAAATCACAATTTTATTAATTTTTAATTAGTTTACCTAAACTGGCAGCTTATTAGATTGTCCACGAACCGGTAACATATTTCAGTTTTATTTAGATTAGTGTTAGAGTTAGATTCTAAAATTCTAAAATTGAAAAAAGTCTTCTAAATTTTAGAAGACTTTTTCAATTTTATTTTTTTATATTTTATAATTATAAAATTTAAAATAAAAATTAGTAAAATATATATTAATTAAATAAAATAATTAAAAAATAAATCTTTTTTTAAATTTTGTAAGATTTTAAAATGTTGAAATTAAAATAATTCTCTTGTTTAATTTTTTAATATAAAAGAATTTAATTATATTATTATATCTTTGTTTTAAGAATTTAGTAAATAAAGCATAAAGCTTTATATTTATAAGCTATTTTAATTTTTTTGAAAAATAAAATTATTTTTTTTATGTTGATTAGGATTATTAGGGATGAGTTGTCGTGACAGAACTCGGGACTTTAATTTGGCCATAAAGACCTTACAACCCCAAGTATTCATTATTTTGATATATTTTTTTTTATTCATTATTTTATTACAATCAGAAAAAACAACATCATCAGTCAACTTCATTGTCTCTTAATTATTTATTGTTATTTATAAATAAATTTTTATTTGTTGACGGAATTTCAAATTTTCAGGCCAATGGAGTGACGTCACACAAAAATGACTTGCCTGCTCTGGTCAGTCGGTCAGCTGGCTTCATGCCTGTAGCAAAGTATTTTTAATTTTTTCAAGTTTTATCGTTTGTTATTTCATTTCAGTGAAGTTTTTTTTGTGATGTCAATGTAATAATATCATATTATATTAAATATAATATGTAATTTAATAATAATAGTATAAATTAAATGTTTTATTTTTAGTAACATATTTATGTTTCTGAAATTTTAAAAATTATTTTCTAGTAACTTTGGCAAGCTGGTGTGTTAATAAACAATAAACCTGTTAATAGATTTTTTTGGTTTATTAAATTATCTATGGTCCTGTAAGCTACAAAAACTCCAATTAGCTGTACTGTGGTGTCTGATAGTCTAAATTAAGTGTTTAGAAGATTTTTAAACAATAGGAAAATTGAAATATGGCAGACTATTTGAAATGAAACTTTTTGATAGAAAAGTGAAATCTTGTTTAGATCATCAGTTGTTCATATGAGTCAATAGTTGTATTGGTTTGCTGGTCATTTTGAATATAATGATTTTAAATATATATATTTATGAATATATATATTTCTGTATTTATTTAAATATTTATATTTTTTATTCTCATTTATTACTTATTTACAAATATATTTAACTTTTAAGGCAGGTGAGTAAAGACCTTGCCAACACGTTTGCAAAATTAGAAAAACTTACAATGCGTGAGTGTTAATTCTTATCATTCCATTGTTGTTTTATAGTTCATTCGGGGCTTACATAAATATGCAGATTTCTATTTAAATCTAATTTTGTGTGTTCATTCATTTGTATGTGCGTGCATACATAATAAACTTAATAAACATATGTATGTATGTATGACCCATTGAAGTTGCTCAAAAAAAGTCTCTATTTGATGACAAGCCGGAGGAAATCCAGCATTTGACGTACGTCATCAAGCAAGACATTAACTCATTAAATGAACAGATATCCAAGTTACAACAGGTGGCTATGGTTACTAATATAAACAATATAATATAAACAGTATATTATAAAAAATATAATATAAATAACAATAATGTTATTATTATTTCATTATTTTTTTGTTATAAATTTGTTTTTATTTTATTTTTTTAAATTTATTTTTTACCAGTTAGGCAAACTTCAGATGACCTACAATGGCAAAAACAAGCAATCACACACGACATCCATTGTATTGACACTTCAGGTTAACCATCTGTCCATCCATCTAATCATTCATCCATCTATCCACACAATTGTCTTTTTGTTTTTCCATCCACCTATCTTTCCATCCACTCATCTATCTACCCATTCATTCATCCATCTCTTCATCCATCCATTTGTATCCATCCATCAATTTATTTGTTCTTCTTTAAATTTATCAGCCAATTCATTCATTTTGGTATCTAATTTTCTATTTTATTTTCTATTTATTTACCCATCCATTCACTAATTAATATCCATCCACTATTCATTCATCCATCTATCGATCCATCTACCCTTTCCTCCATCCATCCATCTATTTTAGTCACATCTGGCAAAGATGTCAAGCAAGTTCAAATCTGTACTTGAAGTCAGAACGAAGGTGGGTCGGTTGGTGGGTTGGCTGGCCGACCGGCTGGCTGTCGAGCATTTATTTCAATGATTATAATGATGGTTCAAATATTGATTGTGATATATTATTATTATTATTTTTATATTATTATTATAATAACATTAATGATAATATAATAATAATGGACTTAGTAGTTAATGATTTGTACTGAAAAGAGTGTTTATGGTAATGATTAATGATGACATTAGTATTGGTTGACATTAAAGATGATGATGATGATGGTGATGATGACGTCAAAATGGTAAGATTTTTATGGTGCTCTCGGTGGTGATTTGACGATGTAATTTAATCAAAGTGGCAATTGATCATATTTCACGAAGAAAAATAAAGCTGAATGAAATAACTTAGTAAATTAATTAGTTTATTAATTAATTTTATATCACACTGTCTTGTAGAACATGCAGAATCAAAAAATGAGGAGGGATCAGTTCTCGACATCCTCCACCCTCACATCCACTCTGCCCGATGCAAGTCATGGTGGACATGGTCAGTGGGGGTGGGGACGGTGGTGGTAGTAGTTGTGGTGGCTTTGTTGTCCAGTTTAATTGGTTGAATGTTCAAATTATTGGATAGTTGATCTATTGTACTTTTGACTGATTAATTTGCTGTCAGTCTGCTGTTTGGTGTGTGCTGAAGTTCATTTTATTTGGTTAATTGTTTGGATTGGTCAATTAAAATGAAGAATTTATTGATCAGCTGTTTTTTTATGGTTTTAACAGAAAAATCAGTGTTACTCCAAGACGAAGTCAACAGTTACCAGCAACAACAGCAACAAAACCGACAATATCAACAACAACAAAACAACTCGACCGACCGGCTGTCGTTAGAAAGTGAGCACACGTCCATCAACATGGAGGGTGCTGGAGCACGCTACAGGTACCAACAACAACTCCAACTTATTGAAGAGCAAGTTGGTGCTTGCTTTATTTTCCTCTGGTTGTTTTGGTCAGAGTTGCCTTCTGATTGACGATGCTGTTTAGAGATTGTTGTCATTTTCTGGTGCAGAATGGATTTTGGATTGGTCATACGTGGTGAACCAACCAGTTAACCATATAAAATCAATCAATTATTCATTCTATTAAACAAAATCAACTTTTCAATCATTGAAAAGTCAACCAGCCAGTCATTGGTAACCAATCAAGCAATCAATAAATGATGCTTAATTACAACTTCCAACAGGAATCCTACATACAGAGTCGAGCAGACACCATGGTGAACATAGAGCAGACTATCGTTGAACTTGGTACTATCTTCCAACAACTGGCACACATGGTCAAAGAACAAGAAGAAATTGTTCATAGGTTGGTTGGTTTGTTTGTTGTTTTGTTGGTTTTTATGCCTCTCTATGCTTGTGTCTGAGGTCTTTGCTGTTATCTCTATCAGATGTGTATGTGTGTATATTCTTTATTCAGATCATTTATATACATGTTTTCCATCCATAGAACATGTTTATTTGTTTCTATTTTTACCTGTATGGTATGAATAAATTGAAAACACTGCACTGAATGTGCTGACTGTATTGTTTCTCGTGATGGTGTTACAGGGGAGGAGAATGATGTTTATAAAGTGAGAGAAATGAGATGATGATGGAGAATTATGCTTATAAAGTGAGAGTAATGAATGATGATGGAGAATGGTGACCTATTAATGATAATAAGGATGGGTAAGATCATTATAATAATGACGATGATGGTGACGAAAATGAAAGCAAGGAAGCCATGATATGGTTCTTAGTTGTTACCTATGCCTAACTAGTGCAAACTAATTGTCCAGTCCACTGATTATATGATAGTCTGATGATGAATTATAACTTTGATCAAGTTGGATATAAAAATAATTGAAATTACAAATGGCATCCAATCAACCCAGGATCGACTCGAACGTTGAGGAGTCGAGTTTGAACATCGAGGCAGCGCACACCGAACTCGTTCGCTACTTTCAGTCGGTCACCTCCAACAGATGGCTCATGTTGAAAATTTTCGCCGTCCTCATCATCTTCTTCATCATCTTCATCATTTTTGTGGCCTAATTATACTTATTTATTTATTTTTTTGCAAGTTTTCATTTATTAAGTTTTATAGATTAAAAGTTAATTTAATTTCAATTAAGTTAAATACTGATTCTAGTTGTACTATTTATCTATAATTATAAATAATTTTAAAAGTAAAACGGTTGTAATTTTTATTATTATTCTTGTTATTACTTTTTTTTTTACTACAAATGCAAACTGCAACGGTAACAATAATTATAGCTAAACAACCAAAATAAATGACATTAGTGCTTCATATGCATTTTGCGTGTATTGAATCTTACAATTTATTTTCATCTATCATCTCTAAAATTATAAATAATAATTATAATGGTTATGCTGTCACGTGACATATATAGTTATTAATCATTCCTTTTAATTAATTTATTTAATTGATTGATTAATTAATTAGTGTATTTATTTATCATTATTGGCGCAAGGGAAGTAAATAATACACGCAATTGATCCATTTAATTTGCAAATTTGCATTTAAAACGATAATAATATCGTTTTAAACTACGGTTATATAATAATTTTTTGACTATTGTTATTATTATTATTATTTTAATTAAATATTTGTTTACTGTTATATAACTTTTATTAATTCAAATTTTTTTATTCATTTATTTATTTATTTTCACTTGAATTCGTAATCATAGTTATGTTTGAAAAAAAGTGTATATCATATAGTAATAGGCCATCATTTTTACAATATTCTATAAATTCTACCGAATGTTTGGCGTTAATATGTTTGTAGTTCGTTTTTTCGATTTTTCTCACTAAAAAAATAGAAAAAAAACGAACTACAAACATATTAACGCCAAACATTCGGTAGAATATATATATATATATTTCCATTGCATGCAAGTGTACATACATAAGTCTGCATAAATAAGCATGTGCGTGTGTATATATGTATGGGTGTTGTGTGTATATAGGTGTTGTTTAATTTTGGGTGTGTGTGTGTTGTTTTTTTTTCTCTCTCTCTCTTTCTGTGTGTGTGTATGCGTGTGTATTGTGTTGTTGTGTCGGTCTGTCTGTCTGAGTGCGCGTGTGTGTGTGTATTGTGTTGTTGTGTCTGTCTGTCTGAGTCCGTGCGTGCGTGTGTGTGTGTAAATTTATGTTTATTTATTTGTACATAACCTTTTGTTTTAATTAATTTCATGATATCATATAATTACTTATGGGTTTTTCATAACTAATACACAAACGTTTACATGTATTGATGTATGTATTGATGAATAAAATTTTAACTTAGATCCGACCAATCAGGTCATCAGTGAATTCTTAGAATAGTTTTTTTATTTATCCATTTATTCATTTTTTTGGGTTTTATTTTCCAAATGTTCTACGAAGGGGAAACTATAGATATGTAAACTCGTGTATGACAACATCATACACTGATCATTATGTTAAGTAACTTCATCCAGGCTTTAACGAGTATCTATCTATCCAGTTAAATATTATATATTTTTGTATACTGAGACGCTTACATGTTTAAATATTTTTCATTTATATTTACAATCTATTTATATATATATATATATATTATCTGTTACGCACCGATTATTTATCATTAAACGAACATGTGTACTTCTATGAAGGTTTATGACCTGATTCGAAACCTTATTAATATAATTAGTTTTTTAATTAATAAATTAATTATGTTAATGAAGCCGTTCTAGTGAAAATAACTACACGAACCTGGTTAGTGTTGTTCTCGTAACCATTTAATTTGATTTTTTTTATTGCAATTTCGTTGAAAGGTGCGTGTACATAAAGGTTACTTTTGGAGATGTTTTGATGTCAATTTGCTGCTAATATGGATATATATGTGTATAGTAATATATATCCATGGCTAATATAATGGCACGTACAGTATAGAGAAATGTGATATCTTGAATGTATTCTTTCCAAAATAAAAATGTACATAATTCCAACAAATTTATTAACAATTTGTGTTTAGTCGGTGGAAGGTGTGTTTCAGACTAAAAATGTTTTTTTAGTTTGTGACAGTTTTACCTATCAAATATCTTTCCGGAGTTTCTTAGTTACGTGAGATCTGGAAGTACGTTGGCTCCGCGTTGACCTTCATTGTATAATTATTGTTCTATGTTTCGTTTGAATTCACTTTTAAAGTAAAATTTTAATTTAACTTTTTATATTTTATTAATTACATGTCAAATTGTTAATTTATTTATTTTTAAAGTCCGTCGAGCTGTCGAAAGTTTTTTAATTAGAAATAATTTGCAAACATTTGAAGATTATCGTCTGTAATTGTTTTATTTCTATAGTTGTATAAAATTAATCTGAAATTTCATATTTTTTACCAAACACAAATTCTGAAAAATCCTCCAACAAAAGCTAAAAAAATCTTACCAAATCTTCTTGAAAAAACACTTTTATTATTTGGTTAATTGGTTAATTTAATTTATTTTTAATTAAGAATTAATATAAAAAGTTACTAGTTTTAGAGATTAAAAAATTTTATGGTTTCAGTTTGATAATTAATTAAATATTAAAGTAAAATTAGGTCAAAATCAAAAGTTTAAAGCAGGTAAAATTATAATTATTCTTTCTTGACTGCTTACTTGATTACTATTATAAAAGTCCTTCTATTTTTTCTATTCTACTAATAAATGCAATCTATGTAAGTAAATCTAACCTCTAACCTCAACCAATGTTTATCACAAAGTATGCTACCAATCAAGAAAGCAAAATTTCATCAGATGTTATTCTGATTTTATTAAATATAATAATAAAAATATGAATTTTTAGAATGTTGATAATTTTGTATTTAATTTTTCAAAAGTGCCTGGCTGACAGACTGGACAGGTAATGGGCAACTCTCAAATACGTGATAAGTCCCATAAAGGTAACGATTCTACGGAAGATTACGGACCCACCCTTGTAGCTCCTAACTTACAGTCAGAACCAAACTCATTCACTTTTTTGAAACAGGTCAATAACATTATTTTTCTGTTTTTTTTTATAGTTTTGTTGCATATTATTTTGCACTGGAAGGGTAATGTGTAATTATTATAATTTTGAGTATCATGATGAAATGAAATTTATAATTTTCAAAGAAACAAGAGCCTAGTTCTTCTACAGCCACAAACATCTCTCAACAGCATCCAAAATATGGTGAGGGTGGTGAAATGGTAGAAAGTATGGTTTCGTTGGGGTCACCACAATCTTTGAACATCAGAGTTGGCATTGACATCAATGCCAGAAAGTTACCAACCGTGTTTCGGTGGACTGGTGAAGGCAAGAATTGCTTCCTCTCTGGAAGTTTTGACAACTGGAACTCCCTTATTCCCTTAGTTAAAAGGTCTTATTTTCATAATTTTCATTTTATGCTTGTATCAGTTTAGTAATTTTGTTATAGAAATATAAATGAAATTATTCTTTTAACTTTGAAACAAATTTTTTCTAAATATAACTTACTTTACTAACCTGTGAGTGATGATAAATGTTTTCAGTGTGAATGATTTTTTCACAATCATTGAATTGCCTGAGGGTACGTACCAGTACAAGTACCTCATCGACAATCAGTGGATGTGCGATAACAACCAAGTCAGTTTCACCACTGCTTGTCAACTGGTGTTCTTCGTGGTTTTGTTTATTACCGCTTTGTTTCAAAATCATTTCATCTAAACTCAGTGTTTCCCAACAATTTATTTTGATGCTCCCAAATCCTTTAAACAAATGTATGCTCCAATAAAAATTAAGATATGCAACCTATTTTTAACATAATAAAATAGCATTGTACTGTGTTAGAATACAATTTACTAATTTTTGTAGCTATTAAAATATAATTTGTAAAGAAATTTTTTGTTTGGAATTAGTTTCTTCTTTTGAGGGTATGCATTGATGAAGAATTTGTTGTAAGTTATCACCTTAGATTGGACAACTTAACATTTGGTCATGTATTATTTATTTTTAAATCATGGAACAGAACATTTCAAACTGCCTGCCTCCACAAATAATTTGCACTCCCTCCAGTGGACGCCCCACACTTCACCCCCCTCCTTCCCAGTGGCCACCCAACACTGGGAAATATTGACCTAATCCGTTTTTATCATTTGCATCATCTACTACATCATCATCTTAAACATTATTGTTATTATATTATAATATTACATTATTATTATATTATTATTATCATCTCTTCATGATTGCCACTGTGATCAGGATAAAGTACCTAACTCGTTTGGCACACACAATAACGTCATCTCGGTTAGACCATCTGATTTTGAAGTTTTTGAAGCTTTGGGTACGGACAGCTTGGCTACAGGTCACATGAAAAACTCAAAAAGTCATGGTTGGTGATTCACTTTCTTCTCCGATTCATCAATTTTTGTTTGTTCGTTTATGTTAATAGATTGATCATGATCTTACATTGTTTGATCAAATGAGTAATATTTGATTACTAAGTCGTTGAGTTGGTTGATGCTTACGAGTTTAAAATTATATAACTAAACTGAAGGAATAATTCTTAGAACTAAAAAATTCTTTTGCGTGTGTAGATCGACCAGATTCTCCAGTTGGCGAATATGGACAGTACATCCCACCGAAGGAATCATCCTACCATGGAGTGAAGCACACCTTCCCTCCCATCTTGCCTCCTCATCTTCTCCAGGTCATCCTCAATAAGGAAGTACCACTGCATGTTAGTTGTTCTCAGTCATCATGTTTGCAGTAAAAATTTCTAATATTATATATATATGTTATTGTGTGTAGGTATGAGTGTGTATATGTGTGTGTGTGTGTGTGTGTGTGTGCGCGCGTATGCGTGAGTGTTGTGCGTGTGCATACGCGTGCATGGATGGCTGGAGATGGTGTGAGTGGTTTATTGTTTGATTGAATGTGCCTACACTACCAGTGTGAACCATCTCTACTACCCGAACCAAATCATGTCATGCTGAATCATTTGTATGCTCTCTCAATTAAGGTTTAATTTTTTTATTTAGATTTTATTATTTTGTAATTTCATTTAATTAATATCTTTAGGGCCATTCATTCATTCATTCATTCATTCATTCATTCATTCATTCATTCATTCATTCATTCATTCATTCACTCATTCATTCACTTCATTCATTTTTTCATTATCTTTTCCTCTTGAATACGCTGCCCAGTTTTCCAATATATTTTTTATCCATTATTTTCCTTCTGATTTATGAACTTTGAACTTTCACACGGCCTTGAAGGATGGAGTGATGGTGCTCAGTACAACTCACAGGTACAGAAAGAAGTACGTTACGACACTCATTTACAAACCGATATAGTCATCTCTGGTGTCATCAGGCCATTTTTTAATAGTGATGAGGACGACGACGATGATGATGATGGGCATGTTTACGTAGAAGATGGTGAAGAAGGTGATAAAGTGCAAGAGGGTTTTCGTCATCATCGCTGTTGTCATTATTTTCATCATTTTCGTTTTCTTCAAAAGCTTCTGTGTTCATCTTACCTTTTTTTTGTGACAAGCTATTATTCTCTGTGGCTTTGTGTCTTTGTGTGTGTTTTTTTCTTTATTTTTCTTTATTATTATTATCCTTATTTATATTTTTAATTATTGTTTATGTTAATTGTATTTTTTTTCCTTTTATTTTTACTGGAAACAACTTGTGTATGTGCATCTATGAATTATTAGTTGTGAATTGTCATAAGTTCATCATCAGACGATGTTGCTATTTATTATTTAGAATTATTGTTACGAGAAATTATGAATTTATAGGAAAGGTCAACAGTTCATGTATTTATTACTCATTAATTAGTGATAAATAATCTGTAACAATGATGAACAAATTACTAATAAAATAATAATTATAATAGTTTAATAGCCACTCCTCACTACGGTCTTAACGCGATATGCATTCAAATATTCAAATGATTTAATTCACCGTTCGTGATGAGCATCAGAGTGTATTCAATCCATACATACCCGTGAAACATTTTAATATGTCGTCGTTGCATATCTTACAGTTGTAAGATATGCAACACCCTGCATGTGTACTTAAACAATTTTGCATCACGTAAATGTTCGATTCACTATGTTTTACACTTCCTACCCTCCACATTGTTCACTTTCTCGTTCGCATTTAGCGTCTGAACTTGTATGTTTTTAAATTTTCACACGATAATTTATTTTTATGTAATTTCTTTGTAAAAGTTTTAAGATGAACTCATTTCTTGGTTCCTTGTAGAACGAGATTGTGTATTTAGCTATTTTTAGATAGAATCCTCACTGTTTCATGTAAAAGTTAAATAACACCTTATAATAAAGAAAGTAACTTTCAATTGAAGATCATGCGACAACTTTTTTATACGACAGGTGCCAATTTCTTCAACCTATTTTTTTATATTTGCCGCCACATCTTTGTCAGCAATTAATTTCAGGCTTTGATGGAGTGCCAACAGTTGACCATGACCTTCCAGGCGACCCCAGCGTTTTCTGCAATCAATTTTTTGCTCTGAACAACATTGTGGCAGTCTGCTTGCTATACACCTTGATACCTGACAGCTGAATACTGGACATTACAAACTTTACGATTCTAACTAACATCACGGAATCTAACTTCCATGAACCACACTCACTCAATGTTCATTTCTTCTTTTCAATTTTGAACTTTTCTAAAAAATTTAAAAGTGGTCAAGCCTGTTGCCATGATTAAATATTGCCAAGATTTATTATTATTTCTTATTATTATCGTGAATTATTTTTGTTTTATTGTTATAAAAGATAGGTGATGTAATGTTATTCATTGTAGTACCTTCAACCTGTATGAAAATAAATACTTTCATTGAAATGCTAATACAATGATTTATTCTTCTATTGTTAATACAATGATTCTGATATATATATACAGTGTTGTATAGTAATCGGATTACAAGTAATCCGATTACGTAATCGATTACATTTTTTTGAATCTGTAATCGCATCATTTATAAAAGTAGTCTGTAATCAAATTACATTTTTTGCGTAATCTGTAATCTAAACAGGTGTCACGATTACCTTATTTTAGATTACTTTAATCAACAACAACAATACATTTTTTAAATACCTAAGATTTTTAAAATTTAAAGTTAAAAAACTAAAAAATGACTTATTCAAAAAGAAATAATTTATCCATTGATGTCATATGCTTTTTAATTAGACCGCTCACGTAATGTTAAAAAGTCTGCTCAAGAACGTTATGAAGCAGGATAAGCAAAGTCGCTTCTGGTTCAAACTTGTTTTAAATTTCATGAAATTTAGAAATAATACAATTTTTTAAATTATTTTATGAATAATTACAATTTAATAACTCAATAATTTATAAAACTATGTGACATTCATTAAATAAAATTCTTATAAAATTCATTAAATAAAATTCTTATAAAATCTGTAAATTCAAAAAGTTTGATGATGTAATCTGTAATCGGACACATCATTACAAAGTAATCTGTAATTTGTAATTTCAAGCTAATTTTAAAAGTAATTTGTAATTAGATTACTTTCCAAAAGTAATCTATACAACACTGTATATATATATATATATATAGAGATATATATATATATATATATATATATATATATATATATATCAGAATCATTTATTCAATCAAACAAAACAAAAAGTATGAATGATTTGGAGATCAAAAAAAAATAATTCTTGTGGTTCGGCCAGCGTGTAACTTAAAATTGCTTTCTTATGTTCTGATAATATAACGAGAATTGTTAATAAATTAGAATTAGAATAAAATAAAATTGTCAATTAAAGAAAAATGTCTCAATGTTAATGAAATGAAATTTTAAATTACACTATATATATATATATATATGTATATATATATATATATATATATGCAATGTCCTGCTGTCAGGTATTTATATAGTCTAGTCGTAAATTGTAATGGTTGTTATTGTAATGTAAAATTTTAAAATTGTATCCAAGATTTGTCTAGTAATTTTAATTTTGTGTTTCTCTTTCACGTGATTCTTTATAGCGCCAGTTTGTAGGTGCATCGTGAGTCTTCTCGAAAACTTGGTCGTCATCATACCAATATATTCGGAATTATGATGCCCACACTCACCAATATTACATTTGAAAAAATATATTAGATGGCTATGATCCATTATCGATTCTGGTTTATTTTTCATCACAAGAGATGACGTTCTTTGGTTTTAGTATATATAGTTTAATACTATCGTTTTCGTTTGTTGCTTGGACGTTATTTTTTTATGATAGTTTTGTGTTTCTCTTTCATGTGATTCTTTATAGCGCCAGTTTGTACGTGCATCGCGAGTCTTCTCGATAACTTGGTCGTCGTCATATCAATATATTCGGAATTGTGGTGCCCACACTCACTCATAAATTATAAATCCGGCCCCGGCCAGACTTGAAAAACCTAAATCCGGTGCATCCCTATTATATATATATATATATATATATATATATATATATATATATATATATATATATATTAAAAACTGTTATTATCCAAATTTATCATGCAGATAGGCCTTATTTCGATTTTTCACAAATCATCTTCGGTGCAGCTTTGGTTTATATTGTTTTTTATACAAAGCAAAGTTAGTTACTTAGTTTCCTTAGACAAAGCAAAGTTAGTTGGTGCCTTATTTTTCATCTTCTTTGTTGTTGTCAATTGTTCTTCATTGTTATTGTAGTTAGTATTATGGCGTCGAGTTGGTAATGATGTTATCATTTTTCGTTGGATGTTTATTTGGTTTTTATTTGATATTTATTAGAACAGCTTCTGCAATTTTTAGGTGTATTGTGTTAGTGTTTTGATAAATTATTTTTGTTTTAGTCAAGAATTTGGCGGGTTAATGGAAATGTAAGTGTTAATTGCAAGTGAGATTAGAAGACTCCTCTTGGTGTATGCATTGTGAGACGTCTTAATAGTGAAGTTGTCGTAACACCAGCATACGAATGTTGTCGACGTTGGATATATAACACATTTATACATAATTATTTAACATAAAAACTACGATCGGTTACATTGTTTTATTATAAAAGAAGACAACAATGATATAATAAAAATAACAACAATAACAAAGTCAGTTTTTTAACATTACCGCCATTATATATATACATACATATTACAGAACTATGCTAAAAATTGACGATAAACAAACAGCATTCATGATGCCAGGAAACCTGGATTGTAAAAAAAAATAGATCACATCTACAAACTGCTGTTTGCGTGCAACCTTATCT